CAGTACTTTTAGAGCTTGTTGGAAATGAATTAAGGACTGAAGCTTAGTTTAAGAAGGCAGATTTTGTAAAGTACCTGAATCGGAGATTTCCAATTTTAGTACCAAAACTGAGATATCCGACTTCCATTGCTTAGAGCTTATCAATAATTCATAGCCAAAACAATTATTAGCCAAAACTAGTTAAGTTCCCCCTGAATGTGTGCGCTTCAAAAAAAAATTCTCAGAATCATACTTGAGATAAGCATAATCAAGCATAATAAGCATAATTAATAAAATTGTTGAAGCAATATTGCAATGTTTAAACAAGAAGGTGTTTGCATAAAAACACATTAGTGTTTTCACATACTTTCCCCCTGTTTTGATGAAAAGAACCTTCAGTTTCTCTTGCGCTTTGAAGATCCGGCAACCTCACTGATGCCCTTCATGTTCCCACACAGTTCTTTGATGCGCCTTAAATTTTCACGTCTCTCTTCTGATTGAGCATCATTTGAGAAGTGGTCAACAACTGTACCTATAAATTCTGTTCCATCCAGTCCTGAGCTGGATAGATGTTGTGCTGAGTTTTCTGGATTTCTTTGTTGTGCTTCAAGGATTAGATTTGTCATGTTCAGATGAGAAGGAATATAAGATACTTCTCCTTCTTTGACTGCAATAGGGAGCTGTGGTATTGGAGATGGACTGTGTTGTTGGAGAATTACTTCCATCTTGCGGTTTCCAGAATTTGCGCCAATAAGTCTGAACAGCTTGTATGCTTCCTTTTGATTGTCAATGATCATCTTCAAGTAGTCTTTGGTCACTACCTGATTTGTAGAAGCTACTGCTAGGGCTGATCTGATGTCCATTTGGAGAAGGGACATCTGTTTTTGGAGACTAATTGTGACACTCGCTATTTGCTCTTTGACTTTGTTGATCTCTTTGAGTTGAAGTAGACTGTCAGAGGCATATATTTCCATCGTGTTGCTCACAGTTCCACTCAATAGAGAGATAATCTCCAGAGTCTTGTGCACTGATTTGCTTATTTCTTTGAGATCTGCGCTGTGTTTTCCTTCAGATTTCTCTATGAGCTGGGTGTACCTGACTTCCATTTGCTCTATCTCTTGCCTAAAGGAGGCATGTTGAGATGCTAG